ACGAATTTTGAAGGCCATTTTCCACTCGTCCCCAGGGCGGATACGAATCTGATGATACCCACTGCGTAAATCAAGTTTTGTGAAAATAAAGGCGCCATGTAACTAATCCAATAAATCTTCCAACCACAGGATAGGGAATCAGTATTGAATGGTAATCTTGTTGATGGTCCGACTATCCACATACATGTGTCAGGAGTTATCCTTCTTCGGTATCAATAAATCCAGGATGTTGCACGGGCTACGACTATGCTTGATGACGCCCCACTGTAAAAGTTTGTCCACCTGAAGCTGCAACTCCTTATCCTCAGCTGGACTCATAAGATAATATGTGGGCGATTAGGCAGAGACGCCAAGGGTACCAAGTCAATCTGGTGCCGAATGTCTCGAAGGGGCGGTAAACCTAACGGCAGCTTCTCGAGAAAAACATCATAAAACTTCTCTAGTAACGGTCGAATGGCCGCCAGAGATGACTAGTCCAGAGATACATCTGATCCAACCGAAAGTAGCACCAATGGGGCCTGGGGCATCGTGCATCTCTCCTAAGAACGCCACACGGGAAAGGAACATCACTGAAGGTGGCGTGGACGCCGGTAGAGATCGAGGTGGTGACGGATGTAACACAATCTTGACACCCTCAAATGTGAAACTGTAGGTGTTAAGACGGCCATCATGAAATGCTGCCCGGTCGAACTGCCACAGTCGGCTAGCAGTAAATGACAAGTTTCCATGGGGACCACATCACACCATACTTGATCCCGATATGATCCTCCAATGGAAAAAGGCCCCAGGACTCGTCGGTCGATTGTAACAGCATTGCCCTTCTGAATCCAAGCAAGGCTATATGGTTGTGGGTGCGGCCAACTCAAAAGTTGGAGTTTGTCAATGGCCTCTTGGGCGACCACATTTTCGCAAGACCCCGAATCAATAATAAAACGACAAATGCGGTCACCCACAGTACAAGTCGACTAAAAGATCGTCCGAAAAAACCCGAGGCACCAAACAAGAGCGTCGAAGTACCAAGGCTGTCGCAAAATCACCATGTAGATGCTCGACCGTCTCAGTGGGCTCCTCGTCGAACACCAGAGGAGCGTCATATAAGCGGTGGTCATCAAAAGCTCTTGTCTCGTTGGTGAATAACGCACACCCCGGATCGGGTCGAGGGCGAGCAGACTGCCTATGACCCAACTCGCCACATGAAAAACACCGGAGGGCCCCCGATTGCCGCCCCCTTGCGTTGCGCCTGGAGCAGCCATCGTGGGTCCCAACTGAGCAGCATGCTGTCTGCTGGAAGTAGCAACAGCGCCTACCGCCACGCTGCTCGGTCCTGCCGACGAGCGGCCCCCAGCCGCAGTTGCACAGGTATTACCCCCCAACTGTGGTCCTGAATAAATGGCGGCCGACGCACGACTCGTGAGCTGCTGCTCGACCAACACCGCATGTTGGTGTGCGTCAGAAATCGAGTCCAGTATGAAGAGGTTTAGCATATCTTGGATCGGAACTCGTAAACCACCAATACACCGCGATATTATCTGATCATTTGTTTCTCGGACATCAACTCGTGTAAGGAGTTTATAAAGCTCCTCGGTATATTCATCGACCGATCGAGACCCTTGCCATAGATTTTATAACTTTTGATAAAGAGTGGGGACATAGTTATACGACAAAATTCTTTTTCAGCGTGCTTTCGGAATTTAGGCCAAGTCTTAATTTTGGACTTACACATGCAATGTCGAGACCCTTTGAGTTGCAGCCACCAAGCCGCTGCACGACCCCAAAGGCGGGTCGCGCCGAGCCCCACCTTCTTGTCCTCTTGTACGTCTTTGAATTCCAGCACGTCTTCGACCGCCGCAATCCAATCGAGAAACTCAACGACATTGAGCCCTTCCGTAAACTCCGGAATGTCTACACGAAAGGAGCCATCCCATCGTCGGTCACCATGCACGTTGTCATGCTCCTGATAATCCAGCATCCCGAACGGGTTAAACTCTTCCACCGTGGTGTTGGAGTCGTCGTCCTCCTCCCACCGTGGTGACTGAACACCACTATGCGCAGCGCGGCTCTGACCCCCGCGACCCGCACACATCCCTCTGCGACCGCCAGCTCGCCCCTCGAGTCTGTCGCGGTTCGTTTGCTCACGTTCCAACACCGTCTGGAGAGTCAGATGAACGAACCCCATGCCCGTCGTAAGGTCTGCCATGTCACGACCAATTGCTTGAAATTGTCGGCCTAAACCCTCGACTTGATGATTCATGGATTCGATGTGGCATCGCACCGATTGTCGGCCGTGTCGTTCCTCCTTGGCAGCATCTCGGGATCGTTCTGGACTCTTTATACCGGCTGATGTAGCGCAGCGTAAACGAAAGGATATACGAGTATCAAACTCAAGATAATTATAATTTTATTCAAACTTTTTCAACCCTTCATAAGTAATTACATTCATATATAATAATCTTCTTGTGTTTCTTTGGTTTCTCTAATGAATATACTTAAACAATGCTTAGATATAAAATTTTTAGTTTTGTTTGGATTTTCTGATTTGGTTTGGTTAATTTTGAAAAAAATGGTATAGTTAGTTGTTAGTGGGTGTATTAAAATAATATTTAAAATAAAATGATTAAAGTTGATTTGATATAAAAATAGGAGAGAGAAGTTTGAAGTGATAGTTAAAATTGTGTGAGTTAATGAATAATGAATTAAAGTTAATATGGTGTGTAAGAATGATTGATTAATATTATCTAATTATATTGACAATATTTATGATAATTGGTTGAGTTAAATGAAGTGGTTGAGTTAAAAATTTTTGGATTTTTCTGAAATGTTTTGTATACAATCATCACCTTAGTTTTTCAAGACAAACTATATTTGAATGTCTCTTTGGTTTTCAAGCTCTTTCTACATTTCATAAGGTAGTCAACATAATGCTATTAATGATATTAAAGGTCTTGTAACACTCTTATGCAACTTCATGCGTGCTTCCGGCGTCACTCGTATTTGTCCAAGAATGCCAAAGCGATCTCATCACCATCAAGAAACGAGCTTAAAATATTGACCGCAAGGTAGATACAAATGAGTGGAACCCTAGCTTCACGTTATATCTAGGAAGAAAAATAAGCTGTCACTGATAGATGATATTATTTATAGGGAATTTGTTTAACCTCCCAAAGTATGTCCGATTTTAGAGTTTACCTTACAAACTTTTCTACCTGACACTTTGCCTCTCATAGTAATCGAAACTGACAATTTGCCTTTTCTATTAAAATCCTGATATGACATTATTTTTTTTTAACTGAATTAACGATAAATTTTGAATTGTTGTTTAACACTGATTTAGGACTTTTGAAGGCCATGACGAGACAAACAAAATGAGTTAAGGATTGTCGATTTCTAAAAACGGATACCTCGGTAATTGATCGACAAAGAAAGTAGGCACATGTGTGCATAGACAAAAACTTCAATTCAACTTTTGTAATAATCAAAATATCTTATTTTTGATTGGGAGGTATCATTTGAAAGCTTGCAGGACCAATTTTTAAGGAGTAAATTTTATAAAAATCCAACGGTCGGATTTTGATCAGTAGTTAGAAAACTAATGATTAATAGTTAGCTTTTTGGATTTTCATAAGATTTACTTCGTTGGAAAACTCGTCCTCCAAGCTTTCAAATGACACATTCGAAAATCGGATATCTTGATTACCAGAAAACTTGAATTGAATTTTTTTCTACACATTTGCTTCAACTTTCTTCGTCGTTCGATTACAGAGGTATTAATTTTCAGAAATCGATGGATTATATCTCATTTGTTCGTCTTGCCATGGGCTTCAAAAGCCCTTAATCCATTTTAAAGATGAATTTTAAATTTATCATTAATTGAGTTAAAAACTTTTTTTGTGTCATATTAGGGTTTTTAATAGAAGAGACAAATTGTTAGTTTCGATTACTATTCGAGGCAATGTGTCAGATGAAAAAATTTGTGAGACAATTCTATTATCGACCATACTTTGGGAGGTTAATTTGTTCCCTTATTTATATTAAGACATTGTGGTATATATAATAAAGAGATTATACAACGGGATATTGTATCCCACACTAAGGGTCAGATGAGCTATATGGTTCTTTGATTTTACAGCTACCGATACTCGACCATTTCAAGGGCTTTTGCTGCTCCAACCAAACAAATTAAAGAATTGAGTATAGTAACATGTCAGGCTTCTTTTATTTACCATGATATGATGGGATAACATTCTTTAACCAACCTTATCTGGTATTTACTAGCAAAGATTGAGATTGAGATAAATCCTATGTATCATGTATGTGGCAAGTCTGCATACACCTGTACCCAAGACTGATAGGATAATTCTATCACATCTTGAAGGTGAGATATTTTTATCCCAACACAAAAAAAAAAATATTTTTGTCCAAAAAACCACATGTATAATGTCCATTATAATCTTGAATGTCCAAATAATTATATATTTAGTAAAACTAACCCATGGGACAAAAGCTGACTCATGAGATTAAAGTTTAAACCATCCTATTCTTTCCTATCACATCCTCCGTGATCATGTTTATTTGATTGGATCTAAATTTTGAAAATCCATAATGTATTTGCCATATTTGATGTGAGAAAGTCGAGTAAGGTTGATGGTAAGTTGCTTACGTCAAGAGTTGAATTGTGAAGTTTCGTTATGATTAACATGTGAATTCGCTAGTTTCTATCCCTCTGTTCACAAGTTGTTTTGACCTTTGTTTCTTGATGTTACACTCTTCATATGCATTGTCGTTCATTCAAAGTAAACAAAGTTTCAAAGGATATAAGCCTAATATGAGCAATCAAACTACAATAGATTCAGCAATAATACATCCAAAGTTGTTTTTATTTATTTATTTATTTATTTGCGATTAGAGTGAATTGATTGGTTAAACTTGAATTGGATTTATGTCCAATCACACCCTTAGACCCGGGTCAAGTCCGAACAATTTATTTTCTATTAAGAAGAGGATAAATCGTGAAACACGTGGCAAAATGTCAAATGCACAAACAAAATAGCCACTGCTCATCAGAAACCTGCAGCTGGTGAAGCAGAATTCTTTCATCTCCAAGAAGGAAAACAGTCTCTTCTTACAAATTTGTCAGCATGAAAATGAACCAGACAATGACTATACGAATTCAAGCTCCTTCTCCATCTCTGTGAGAACCCTTTTTTTTCTGCCATTTTATTTCATTTTTTCTTTTGCCTTTCAACAACTTGAGCTGTGCCCACCGCCATACTTCCCGTGTGTTTTGTGTGTGAGTTTTGTGCTTCCCGATTTGAACTTTTGATTAGTCTTTTAGTTAGTAAACATGCTTTATATAGGAAAATGTCGCAAATTCTTCACTTTTAATTGGATGGCTCGTGTAGGGTTTTGCGTTACTGTTGGGATTCAAAGAGCACATGAGAAAGAAGAGGGTTTCAGTTGGATGGAATGATTTAAACCTAGGGTTTTGAAATTCATAATGCCGATTCTATTGAGCTTGTTAGGCTAATTCTTATTATGATGATTTCATATACTCAACTCTTACATGGTAGCTGTTCTTCCGGTCATTGTTGTGGATTCTTTCCATTTAATATGGAGTCATGTGAAATAGGATTCAACTGAAAATAAAAACGTGTGTTTTTGTTTTCATTACCAAAAGCTATTTTGTTATTGTTACTTTTAGGTGACATTTGCAGAGCAAAATGTGGTGTTGACTGTTTTGCCATCCTATTATCTGCTCCGTCTAGTTAATTTCAATTTGAACTTTGTCTTTGTCTCAGACTACCACCACGAGTTAAACTTTACTCTCAGGGGTTCTGCCCATGCCTAAGGTCATTGGAGGCTTTTGCTAATTCTAATCTGTTGAAAACGTCACTAGTAGCAAGATGCTCCTTGGGGTCGTTCAAGACATCATCTGTATCTTCAGATAAGTCAATCAAGCATCCGGTACAATTAGGAGCACTGGTAGCCTCTGGCTCTCAAGAAGTTTCTACTAATGAACTTGTTGGTAATGAAAAGATTGGTGTATTATTGCTGAATCTTGGAGGTCCTGAAACTCTCGATGATGTACAGCCGTTCCTGTTTAATCTTTTCGCAGACCCAGTTAGTATCTCTTGGTTTTGCCCTTCTTTTGATTTTGCTGCTGTATTTTTGTTGGGAATAATTTGCTTAAATTATCCTTTTTTTCTCACTTTTTTGGTTTTATACATGTATCTATATTCGGAAACTAGGACATTATACGACTGCCAAGACTTTTCCGGTTCCTTCAAAAGCCTTTGGCACAATTCATATCTGTTGTCAGATCCCCAAAGAGCAAAGAAGGATACGCTTCAATTGGTGGTGGTTCTCCCTTGCGGCGCATTACTGATGCTCAGGCATGATTTCTTGAAGTTCATGTAACACCATTCTCTCACTTTTTGTTTACTTTAATGGATAACTTTGGCTTAGATAGGAAGGTTGAGATCAGATTTCTCATGATTACATCTAAACGACAAAACATGAAACATGTATTTTTCTCCTGTACTTGCTTAAGAAATATATGTATATGTGTCTGTGTGTGTGTGTGTGTGTGTGTGTCCAAAAGAATTCTCTGGATCATATGAAGTCCTATGGTTTCTGCTAACGGTCTCGTACATCGAGAGTAACTAGGATAGCATGAAACCCAGTGGTACTTTAAATTTTTTCCTCAATGGTTTGTTTCTTTGAAAGAGTTACGTAGTTGTCATTGTTACTTTATGGAGCCTTTGATCGCTATCTACGCATGTAGCTCGCTTGCTTGCTTTATTTTTTGGTTTGTCAACATGTTTAACATCCAGTTCAGACTCAACTGGGTTGAATTGCTACCTGTAGGCTGAGGAATTGCGAAAGGCATTATGTGACAAAAATGTTCCAGCAAAGGTGTATGTTGGTATGCGCTACTGGCATCCGTTCACGGAAGAAGCTATTGAACAGGTATTCAAGCTAAATATGGTCTTAATAGGTGATGCCTGTGTTTTCTTTTTTCTTTTTTGGTCATTGTTACACACCTATTAACTTACAAAAGGTAATAAGCAGTGCACTACTTGTTGAAGTTTTAGGCCTGCATACACCGGCTCTTTGCTTTTACTTAATTCTTGTTTGTCATGGGAAATAATGCTTTTGTCAGGAAATTGGGTGAACAATAATAAAAAAAGTTGAAGAAACAATACACTGCAGGTTTACATTTTCAAATAAGTTTGTGGATTGTATTTGTGTTATGTTCCCTGTGTTGGTAATTCAATGCTTTGTTCTTCCTAATCAAATCTTCCAGATTCTGAGTAGAACTTTCTAATTGGGAACTTCAGTAATTTGTACCAGTAAACATTAGTGATTGTGATTTATTAATTACGAAGTGATGCCAATTTCTGACTACATGTTTAAAATATGACTATTTCATCGTTAGTTCCCCCTCTTCTAGAGCTTGTATAACTCACCTGTTTGATTATATTGATATTAGTATGTTGATTTTCATAACTAGATCAAACGAGATGGTATTACAAAACTAGTCGTGCTGCCTCTGTACCCTCAATTTTCTATCTCAACAAGTGGTTCAAGCCTTCGCCTACTGGAGAGTATATTCAGGTGAGTCTGTTTTGATAAATAACTCATATTATGGATGTAAGTGTAATGACTCATGGAATTATGTGTCATGATAAACTGTTATATGTTAGGGAGGACGAATATCTTGTCAACATGCAGCACACTGTAATTCCTTCCTGGTACCAACGGCAAGGATATATTAAAGCCATGGCAGATTTGATTGAAAAGGAGTTGCGAAGCTTTGACTGCCCTGAGGAGGTAATTTCCATGATGATGACTTTGTATGTTCTCTATTCCTTTTGTTGCTATTCCATTTTGACTTGTTTCAATAAGTGACTTAACTAAGGAGAAGATGCTAAAATTGTGGTAATTAGTTTTTGATTAAATACCTATCTTGAATTGATAACATTTTCTGTATCACAGGTGATGATATTCTTTAGTGCTCACGGGGTGCCACTCGCATACGTGGAGGAAGCTGGTGATCCATACAAAGCAGAGATGGAGGAGTGTGTGGACTTGATCATGGAAGAACTGGAAAAGAGAAAGATAAATAATGCCTATACCCTTGCCTATCAGGTGTCATGTCTTTCCTCATGTGAATTTTTTGGTGCATCACATGGATTCTCCAATGCACCACTTGAACTTTGTTTTTTGCCTCCTCATATTACTACAACTGTTTTATAGAGCATCCATGTTGGTTTCTGGATATCTGATAGGTAAATTCAGTTGCCCAGAGATATCGAATGCTGCCTGCTCTGTTGTATTTACTGGGGCTTTGTTCTATATGTGGGATTGGCAATAGTACTGCAGACAATTGTGATTCAATTCAACCTTGCGTTTCCTTTATCTCCATTTATAAAAGCATATACAATAAGGGCTTGTTTGGGAATTACGGTTTAGCGTAGTGTGCTATTGTGTTAGCTGTTTTGATCACAATATGAAGTTAACTGTTGTAAAAGGTTTTTGGTAAAATTAAAACAAAAAATTACAAGGAAGCAAACCGCTACCAGGAATGCTTCTCAATCTAGCATTTGCAAAATTTCGTATTTCCTGCTCATCTGCCAAACAGAAATGCTTGTTCTACTAAAACAGCAATAAATACGAATTTCAGCATTTGACAATGCGGTCAATACAGCTAAAATGGTGTTTTCACCAAATTGCTGAAAAACCAACAAGGCCTAAATTAAAATTTGGATAGTAGATGAAGGTTCTCTTTATTTTTTTTTTCTTTTCTCCAATTATATACGGATTGTTAGCCCTATCAGTGGATTTCAAAGCTTTGACATTGGAAATTGTAGTGTCTCATAGATATTCTTCTTCACATAACAAGTTCCTGTGTTGGCATTTTTCTAAGCTTCATGTGGTCCGTTACTAGGGATGTATGAAGCATACAACCTGTTGATTGTGAAATGAGATGGATATGATCATATGGGTTCTCTTATATATTGACATCCATGCTATTGCCTGTTTGTGCACATGCGCACTCACATATTTCTTGATCCGTTGGACCTCATTTTCTTTGGGTGATATTAGTAACTAGAACTAATATAGGTTGATGGGTGTATTTTTGGTCTACTTGGATTGAGTAAGTCATTCAAGTGCTTTTAAAACGGAGATCGGCTGTTGAGTTGATGAACTGTGTTTAGAAGTGCACGCACTCATTTTATCCCGACTCATTTTATACCTTCTATTTTGTGCTTTCTATTTCTCATCACTTTCTCCCTCACCCAGCCTGCTATGCTACCACCGTCTCTGTTCCTCTTCTTCATCCTGATTTCTGAAAAAACATTGTTGAAACGTAATGTCTTCTTATACTTACATAATGGTGACAAATATATATATATATATATATATATATGATTATAATACAGCGAGAAGGTATCTGTTCATTTTGCTATCTGGCTTTACGAACTTGGTTTGTTTGATAACATGCCTTCTGTGCTTGGTCCTCTGTCTGTGGTGTCATTACTATAAAATATGAATCGAACTCCATAGTGTCTGTTATTATTAATATTTTACTCTTCAGCATAACATTTTTAAGTTTTTTACTTGCTCCACCCCCAACCCCCCATTATTTTCCACTTCTTTTCTTCCGCTTTCTCTGCTTTTCATTTATTTTGAGTGCTATCATGATTTTGCTCTAATTTGATTTGCTTTGCGGTCCTTGTACAGAGTAGAGTTGGACCTGTAGAGTGGTTGAAACCCTATACAGACGAGACAATCATTGAGCTCGGACGAAAAGGAGTGAAGAGTCTTCTTGCTGTCCCAATTAGGTGCGACATATTGATTGTTATTGATTGAAACGGTGTGGTCGTAATATGTAAAGTTTTCTGATTGGTTGATTTATTTGTCCTTTTGTTTTTCCTACATCTGCAATCATGAAAATGTGTTATTCATGTGCGTTTTCTATTGGATTCTGCTACAGTTTTGTTAGCGAGCATATTGAGACATTGGAGGAAATCGATGTTGAGTACAAGGAATTGGCTCTAGAGTCTGGCATTGAGAAATGGGGCCGTGTTCCTGCACTTGGCTGTGAGCCAACTTTCATTTCAGATTTAGCTGATGCAGTAATCGAAAGTCTTCCCTATGTTGGAGCAATGGCTGTCTCCAACCTCGAAGCCCGACAGGTAATTATGGCCTCTTTTACTTTATGGGATGGTGTAGGATGGGATTGAACAACTTTAATCCCATTAACTTTACACGTCAGCTTATGTCCAATGTTTACAAAATGCATTTTAAGGCAAAAACAATCAAGCAATCTGGATAAAGTGACAAAAAGCAAAATATGAGGTAAAAGCGTGGGACCCACAGGACAATCTTATATGGCCTAAATCTGTAATTTGGTGGATTCACATGCCAATTTTTGGACAAAATGGTCATTTGTATGGTGGGATTAAATTGTCACATCCTCAAGACCGGACAAAATAATCCTGCCAATCGTGAATAAAAGTAGACCCGCTGGACACATTAGCTTATTATCCAATCCCATCTAGTTATTATTATCTAATCCCATCATGGTTAGTAAACGTCGGATAACAGGAGTTATCCAACCATATCCTATCCTATCAGCTTAAGCTTAAGTAAAAGAGGCCTATGAGGATTATTCAACTTTTACAGTGACATAGTTGGTTGCAAATATAGATCCTTATTCAAAATGTGTATAACCATATATACAACTTTGTTCATTAAACTAGCCTGTGCTTGAATGTGGAAGCTAATAAGCCACAAGAATCTCTCTCTCTCTCTCTCTCTCTCTCTCTCTCTTCCACACACATACGAACATGTACAGTACTTGATACTCAACCTGAATCTGAACGAGCTCAAAGCAAGACAATTTCATAGCTAGATATCATTTACATTTCTATGATAATCTGCTGTTATAACTGTCAACAATCTAATCTTATCACTGTGTGCCGTGCAGTCTTTAGTTCCACTCGGCAGTGTAGAGGAGCTGCTGGCGGCCTACGATTCACAACGTAGGGAGCTGCCTCCGCCAGTTGTGGTATGGCAATGGGGATGGACGAAAAGCGCTGAGACGTGGAATGGAAGGGCCGCCATGCTGGCGGTGCTCCTCCTCCTCGTGCTTGAGGTAACCACCGGAGAAGGTTTCCTCCACCAATGGGGCATATTGCCATTGTCTCGATGACAACTCTTCTTTTCATCCTCCCTCTCTTGTCTTCTTTTGTATACACGCACTCTGATATGCATATACACACTTCAAGTTAAAAGTTTACCAAAAAATTTTGGTGGAGAATCAGTTATATGGAAGGGAAATGTATCACCGTAGTTTTTGTACAAGTCGGGTATCGTCAACATAGATGTGCATGTCAGTCATTATACGTGCGGCGCTTGGCCTCGTGTATTCTAAGATCTAATTTAAATGGAGGTGCAAACTTGATCACTTGTTCTTTGATCTCTGTCTCATCTTTCGGAGCTTTTCTTTCACTTTGCTCTCATGATGAATTTTTATTACATGATTGGTATGAGGGAATGACATGAGAATTGAATGACAATTTTTTTACTCATTTTTAATCCCGTGAATGGTATATTTTTAGAAATGAATGATCATTCCAATGAGAATTGTACAACTCATCTTAATAGGATTAGCCATTAGTCATTCCATGATTAGTGCATGGTTTTCTCATTTCCATATCTTCAAGAATCAATTGGTCAAAAAATAAAATTAACAAATGACAATAAAAAATAAATATATAATATACTAGATTATGATTAACTTATATTACTTTGGTTTAAAAAGATTTTATTTTATTTCTATATAATCATAGAGGTTATATATTTATCCATAAATTGAATTGGAGCGGAGACCCGCATACGCCGGGACCGACAAAGTCTCAGGATGACAAAGTTCTATATTTTGAACTCGAGCATTGAAGCGAGCAATATAATCCTTCAAGCTTTCTTCAGCATGTTGAATAATGTTTGCGATTGACTCGTTGGGAATCATGCATACTTACGATCCCATGAAATGCATGTGGAACACTGATCGAGACCGCGACTGCTCCCAATTATGGATCGACCTTGGGGGAAGTGAATGGTACCATCGTTAGGGTTTGGGCCCCAAAGTCAAAGAAAAAGTTATGCACTAGAGAGTTTCACGTGCCCCGTAGAGATCCATCCCTGATGTATACTTTTCCAAGTGAGAATCAGTATCGATTTCATCGTTGTTAAGACCGATTTGGGGGACTTTAATCTTGATGGGGAGTGCCTCATTTAAAATATGTGATGAAAAAGGTGAAGTTGGATTTATTGAATAGCCTTTAGGGGATGACTGAGGGTTGGAGATCGGTCGATTTGCCTTTTGCCGTCTCCAAGGTTTGTCGAGCTTCAAGCTCTTTTATACGCTGCTTCAGTGAGACAATCTCCTCCGCCTCCTATCGAAGGATCCTTTTGGTGATGTGTTGGCGGAGATTGTCCTATTTGGGGTTGTTTCTCAACAGGTTGAACATCCACCGGTCGTTTGAGCTCATGTTGGCCCCCAAGTGGGCTTGACTTTTGCCCATACTTTTGCAATATTTTGGCGGTTAAACTTTAGGTTATTCTTTATCATATAAGTAATGATGGCTGTGAGAATGGCCTTCTTGAGATACGGATAGATGTGTTTGGAGGGGGGATTTTGAGGATTATTTTTAGGGGTTACTATGGAGTACTTGAACCAAGCGTTCAGCGAGACCTTTAACAAAAGCAGGATTCTGAAAAATTTGGGTAACATCTTGATGAGAGTGAGGGTTTCCTTCGTTGTTCTGGATACTAGCGTGGTTTGAGGACAACATGGTTGATATGAACACGTAGATTTTTGTAAGATAAGTGTGGGAAGATTCACAAGAAACCCTTGATTGGGACCTTCTTCTAATTCATTGATAATAGGTGGTTACCAAACTAATTAAGTGATAAGTAGGGATTATGTAGGAAAATGAATTAATATAACTAATGAGAGTATCGTCAAAGTGAAATAGAGATCGACACAATGAAAATTTTTGGAGGAAAATTAGTAAGTGTTTGAATATATTTGAGAGTGTAGTATTTCAATATGTTTTTCATCGTGTTTTTTCTGAAGCATGAAGTATTGAATCTATACATGAATAAAGTGTATAGACAATGATTGTCGTTTTCCATCTAAGGGCGTGAATGAGTGACACATCGATCCATGTAAAAATCTGCCTTTTGATTAGGTGGCCCATATTTTGGCGTTTGATGATGGGAGACATAGGGCAGTTGTTTTTTTGGTTTCTGTTCACACGGGCTACAAAGATTGACATATGGTGCTAGCTGGTGGATTGACAGTCGAAATGAGAGGGGGAGATCGACATGAGGTTGGTGGGGTATTAACTTTCTTTCGCAAGTTTGGGCCTAAAGCCGGCGCATGCCTAATTCCAACGTGGGTTATATGTTCTTTAGTATTATGTGCCGACCAAGAATATTTATACCCAACAGGTATTATTTTATTAATACAATATTTAGTTATTTTTAAATATCACAATTAGTTGATAGACACTATAATAAGAATTTATTTATTTGCACAAATATGCAAACAAAACTAAAAAACTATTCCATCTCAATCAATAGACTAATGTATAAATTTTATGTATGTTACAACCATTAAAATGTAGAATAGAAATTGATAAAAAAGAACATAAGTTGTTAAAACTACATTAATCTACGTTATTAAAAGGACTAGGGGTGGGATTTTATACCCGAGAACCGGAGAACCGAACCGGACCGAACCGAAAATAACCGGTTCGGTCCGGTTATTTTAAAAAAAAAACTATTGTTTCGGTTTTCGGTTATTTGTTGCATGTTTCGGTTCCAGTTCCCGGTTCCTTTCCAAGTGTATACGTATTAACCGAGGAACCGACTATATATGTGAAATTATGTATGCTATACATGTTTATATGTATGAATCGGTTCCGGTTCTTGTATTTAATATTCGGTTCTTCATTTTTGCATTCGGTTCTCGGTTTTTCATGATATTTTTAGTCCGTGAGTTGCATTTTTTTGACCGGTTCTTAACTCAAAACCGGTTATTGTCGGTTATTTTTTATTATTCGGTTACCCGAATACCCGGAAAAACCGAACCGTTATAAACCGGTTCGGTTCTTTTTCGGTTCCTGCAATTACTTATATGTTAACCGAACCGGTTTTTTGGTTCGGTTTCGGTTCCGGTTCCTGAAAAAAATGATAAGAACCGGACCGGTCCCAGGCCTAAAAAGGACTGAAAAAACATGGGTATGAGTTTTTGTCTTTCATATATATATATATATATATATATATATATATATATATATAGGGTGTGGATCCAATGAGACCACTCCTAAAAATGAATACATAAGACTCAATTTTAGCCATTCATTTTGTCTAGATCAAGAATTTATGTTAATCAATTTAAATATACATTAATTAAATAATAAAATTAATTATTAGTTGACTCCGACATTGACCGTTGACTTCCGGCATTGACTTCTGGCGAAAATCGTTGACTTCCTGCGTTGACTGTTGACTTCGACGTTGACTCGTCGACCATAATATGTATTGTGTATGAAGTAAATATGGTGGAGCAAAGTTAGTGTAAATATGTTGCAAAGTTATTGTAAAGATATTGCAGGGTTAGTTGTTTTTATTTGCAATAAAAGTTAGTTGTTTGTAGTTGCAAGGTTAGTTGTCTTTAGTTGCAAGATTAGTTGTCTTTAGTTGCAAGGTTAGTTATGTCTAGTTACAAGGTTAGTTCTGTCTTATTGTAATGTTAGTTTTCTCTAGTTGCAAGGTTAATTATATGTAGTTGTAAAGTTAGTTCTATCTTATTGCAAAATTAGTTGTTTTTATTTGCAATGTTTAGTTGTATTCAGTTTGCAATGTTAATTGTCTGTAGTTGCAAGGTCAGTTGCCTTTAGTTGCAAGGTTAGTTGTATTTGGTTACAAGGTTAGTTGTCTTTAGTTGCAAGGTTAGTTATCTTTAGTTGCAAAGTTAGTTCTGTCTAGTTGCAATGTTAGTTTTCTCTAGTTGCAAGGTTAGTTGTCTGTAGTTGCAAAGTTAGTTTTATCTTGTTGCAGGGTTAGTTGTTTTTATTTGCAATGTTTAGTCGTATTCAATTTGCAAGGTTAGTTATCTGTAGTTGCAAGGTTAGTTGTCTTTAGTAGCAAGGTTAGTTGACTTCAATTATTCTTCCATACATGATGCATACTAAGGTCAACGGGTCAACACCGGAAGTCAACGGTCAACGCCAGAATCAATGGTCAATGGTCAAAATAATATTTATATAATTAAAAATAAAGAATTATTATTTAAATCAAGATCTAAATCTTATGGCTAGAAATGAGTCTTACGTCCACACTTTAAATAAGCGGATGCATTGGAACCAATACATATATATATATAT